GCGGCGCTCGAGCCAGTATGAGTTTTCCTTTTAGAACTTTCCATTCTTGAAAAGAAGTTTGGGATCTGGTGTTGTCACCTTCAGCCGTTGACGACCTAAAGTCATTCTTCCGCCTACGGGTAATCCCGCTCCGTTTGGATACAGTTTAACGTCGTGTCCAGGACGATTATTATTATTATTATTATTATTATGTGTTACATGCATTTAAAATACATCTCCTGTCGGCCTGCTTCCCTACATCAGCGATGGACCTTCCCGTGAGGGCTTTCAGTCCACCCCGTCATCCATGGGGGCAGGCGGACAGGTGTGAAAGAAACCCTGACGCCCCCAACAAGGGCGGTAAGCCAGGGTCCTTTAGTCTGCCAAGTGTATTATTATTATTATTATTATTATTATTTTTATTATTTTTTTTTCAGTCATTTTGAGTCAGCCGCTCGCTTCGCTAGAATTGGCACATTGAAACTGTTTCCTCTTCCCCCGACTCGATTCCATGTGGAAGAACAGGGGATTCGTCGATGGAAATCTTTATAGAGTTGGCTGGACCAAAATGAGACGGATTGCTGATGTACAAATCTGAACCCGCTGAAGTGCATAGACTCAAAGGGGACGACGTCCAAGTGACCATGTCACCTTTGAGTGAAGGCACGGGTGTCATGGTAACAAAAAAAAGTAAATAAATAATAATAATAATAACAAAATAAAATAAAATATGACAAAATTCTACGGACGTTTTAGTAGGTCCTGGTTGCCTTGGTTGAAAGATAATACTGCTTTCTTGCGAGCCGTTATTGTTTCTGAGGGAAATCGTATTGACTTCTGTTCTTTCCGTGGCTGCGTGAACAGTCTCTGCGCGAACACAATTTCCTATATTGCTCGACGTACTGATCCAGTTTCTACAGCTTGAAAACTTTCTATCCATGTAAATTAGTCCTATATCGACAGATGTAGCCCAGAGGAAAGGAAATGTCTTAATATCCTCTGAATAGAAGGATTCTAGGGAATAACTAACAGAAAGGAATATGTCTTTTTTGAAGAGGGAGGCCGGAATACGAATCGAGGAGGTGCACGTGGTGGGTCACAGCCTGGGAGCCCAGACGTCGTCGTACATCGGATCCGCGCTCAAGGACATGGGAGTGGGGAAGCTGGGTCGCATCACCGGGCTCGACCCGTCTGGTTACTATTTCGAATTCACCGATCCTCGCGTGAGACTGGATCCCGAGGATGCCCTCTTCGTGGATGCCATTCACACCGACGGCGTTCACGTCTCTCAAGGAGGTGAGTGTCGCATCCCGATCCTTTCATTGCTGCTTGGTGCTAGGCGAGCGGCGCGATGCGTCTCGTGGCAGGGTTCGGGACGCTTCAACCGATGGGTCACGTGGATTTCTATCCGAATTCGGGGGCTCGGATGCCCGGTTGCGGTCTTACTCTTCAGGGGGCCTTCGGCAAGGGGATGTTCGGCAATGGGATCAGATCCCCCTTCAGTCGTGGAAGTGACGGTGAGTCCTTCGCCCTCTTCGTGGCAATGCTCGTAATTTTGCTTATAATATTTTGCGGCGCTCATTAAAATCTTTGTGGCATTCATGAGACAGCAGACAACGATCAGACCAACTTTAAACTAATTCTAGACGGTAATTTAGCATTAATGTAAGCTCTCTAAATGTGGAAGGAATCAATGTTCTTCAAGGCGAATTAGAGATCCGCGGATTCTGAAACGCAGATGGGGGAGTGGAGAAAACAGCGAAAAGAATTTTTCCTGCTGTTCGAAGCTGGTTTAATTGTCAATTCAAAATGTAATTGAAAAAATATTCGTTTTGATGTCTGCTTAATTTGCGAACGCCAATTAAATTAAAGGAGCGGCCGATTTGACCTTTATGTAATATTTATACTGAATTAAACTTTTCAGTTTCTTAAAGCTGAAGAAAAAGCAGAACTATTTTAGCAAGTTTTCAAAAGTAACTGTGCGCTGATTCGTAATAACTATTCCGCATTTTCTGCAATTGCTATGGCTTTGCTGCTGAACTGTACACGAATTCAAAATGGTCTTCGGTTACCTGTGATCTGTTTTGTGGCGTTTTTGTCGCATTTAATCACTAGCAATAAGCGCTTTTATTCTGAATAACTTATCTTTCTGAATGAGATTGGTCACGTCTCTACTGAACAGTTACTTGTGAAACACCCTGTATATCTTTCCATCATTGTGGAAAGTCAGCTCATGGTTGGGACAAATGCGGTTTTCCAACAATGAGCCAAAGTTGGCCCGATGAAGGGCCAATAGGACAAGCCCAACCATAAGCCGGCTTAAAGCAACCGTTGGCAAACCATATGCCAGTGATGGCCCAACCAAGGTTTACATCCGTGTCGACAAATGCCATCGATGGCCCTATGAAAAACTTTTGACTGGGTCGTGAGCCGAAAATCTCTCACGCGCACGCCCATCGACTATGATAATAAAGCAAAGCTCGACGCTCGAACTCGCTCTGCTTTTACTTCCCAGGTCTCACGAGATTCACAGTTTGCAACCACTTGAAGGCCTACGAATACTTCATCGAATCCATCAACTCTCCCTGCTCTTTCCTCGCCCACCAGTGCTCAAACTGGTTCGAGTTCGTGTGAGTCTCAGAGATTTTTCTTTCTTCGACCGAAATCCCGTCCAAGCCCTTCCTCTCCCGCCATCCCCTATCGACCTCGAACGGCATGCATAAAGCATCACGAAAACGACAGCGCAGATTCGGAAGGTGCGTGAGCTGCGGCCAGCGGGGAGAAAAGTGTGCTCGGATGGGATACCACGCAGATGAAGCCTGGGATCCAGAATCCTACGATGGGACGCCCCGGAGGCTTTACCTCTTCACCGGCTCTCGCGAACCCTACTGCAAAATGACGATCCAGTTTTATTCCTGGCGGTACCATAACTTCGGAAATTAAAAGGATCGGCCAATTGATTGATTAAATTCTGAATAAAAAACCGAGCTACTTCTCGTCTTGAGATTGTGAACGCGTCAAAGGACTGACGTGTCGGATTAGAGCGACCCGTGAGACGACCAGTCGTGGTCAATCGCCAGTTTCATCGGATGCGATTTCAACAGGTTTTACGTCAGTCTTCGCGGCTCACGAGGCTCAGAGACGGGTTTGCGCATTTCGTCTGCATTTTCCTGTCAGATTTGAGCTGCAAACTGATTCGTGAGTCGAGAAACACTTTTAAAACCTTGGCTCTACTTGTCAGAATTTATTGGGACTTATAATTATTCAGCAAGTCCTCCTTCGATTAAAAGAAAGTGCTGATGCTTTCAAAATCCATGAAAATTGAATTATTCTACAACGCATTAGGCACCCTTGCATGAGAAAACCTTCAAGCTTTTAACTTCGCAACGGAACAGTGCAGTAGTGACATTACAAACCTATGCAACTGTTGTACGAAAACTGATGGTCAAGATATTTTAGCAGAAAATATATTAGACACTAGGGCTGCACGATATTTGTCTCGAGGCAGTATCGTATCGTCTCTCTGCAGTATTGCGATAGATTGATTTTATCGTCTTGGGGGGGGGGGGGGGGAAATGGGTCGTATGGGGCTGTGGAAAAGGGGGAAAGCACAAAGCGGGGTGACCCTCGCGCCCCCACGTCCGCACGCCCTTATGCCCCAAGGGCCACACGCCCTCACGCCTGAAGGACCTCACGACCGCTCTCGAACCTGCCGGCGGTGAAACGACGGGACACACATCGTTTTCTTCTTGACATGACAAGGTAAAAAGTCGGTAGCGTGTTGGAGTAGTAAACTATACAGGGTGGGTAAAAAAAAACCGGTCCTCTACTTTGAAACCTTATATCTCGGTCCCAAATTGAGCTAGAAGAATTTAACAAAAATGAAATGAAAGTTCATTTAATTCGCTTTCCAATGATATCAGTTGCAATTGAGTTCCGCCGAAAAACATGGGAGATAAATTGATTTGAAAAAAACTTTCCGCTGAAAAAAGTTGAAAATCACGCTTTTTTACCAAGCACAGAGCCTTTTCACGTTCAAACACAAGAAATACAAAAACCAACGCAAGTTTAGCACAAGCTCATCGTTTGACGTATGGCTCAATATGGCCACCTTTCTGCCGAATAACTGCCTTCAACCTCCCTTTTCACTTGAGGATGGCAGTGGCAATTGAGCCCTGTGAAAGTTCTTCCCATGCTACCAGGATTCGTTCCTTCAGTTCAGCGACACACCGGATTTTTTGCCCGCGATACACTTTCTCTTCCAACGCGGACCACACAAAATAATCGACTGGGTTTAAGTCAGGGCTATTGGGCGGCCAATTTTCAGGTTCGATGAAATCAGGACAGTTTTCACGAAGCCACTGAATTNAATGTGGGGTGCTTGATGGGCGCACCAGCGAAGCCGGCAACCGGCTCGTGACTCCACCAGGTGACGCAAGGAAATGCACATGGAAAAACGATTTTTCTGCATGACAAATTTTTTTCAAGTGCTGAATTTTATGCTTTCTCTTGAAATATCTAGAAAAAAAACTTTATAGCACGAGACAGAGAATTGATTGAAATTCCGTGTAGTCAGGTTTGAATTTTTTTTCTTGCATTTTTTTTGTCAATAAAAGGTCTCAAAGAAGAGGACCGGTTTTTTTTTACCCACCCTGTATGATACGAAGTCGAAGCAGAGCTACAAGCCTTTTGTGCATAAATTGTAATTCATTCCTAAGAGGCATTTTGTTTTGTGACTCCAGTCCATCAATCAGCCTCGTACGAAGGGGGTCCTTTAATGGTTTCCTTAAATTGCCTTCACTCCAGGTGAGGATGCAATCTTCCTCGTAAAGGACAGACTCAGGATATGATCATCATTAAAGTAAAAAAAAAAATTACATTGAAGTTCGGCATAACGAGCCGCATTAGCGCTCACGGCCAAAGCGACGCTCTTCATTCATCCCCGCCCTGAGGCACCTCCGACCTCGCCACCCCGGCCTCGACACTTATTCGATACTTCCTGTCGATGCAACCCACGTCTTAAAACGGGAATGATCCATCACCGCCAGTCCTCTTCCAGGCGTCGAAGATCTCTGATGTTGCCGTTCCCGACGGGAAGCGACACGGAAGTTCTTCCTCGACGGTTCGTTTCTCTTTCTTTTCGTCGCATGCTACTGTTTTAGTTGCGTGTTAGTAGCGATCCCTGCTCCCAACAGGCAACAGCAGCCGAGGACGTATACATATTCAGAATTATAAATTTAAATATGATAAATTGTGAAGATGATGACTTTTTAAAATTTTTTCTTTTCCTCTTGTCAAACTCAAACTGTCGATCTCGAATCGCCTTTGTGCGATGTAAGGATAAAAATATTAACTTAGTTTAATTTGATATTTATTAATTAATTAAATATATATTTACAATTTTAACAAATATTTGCTGCAGATGATCCTTTGATTCTTTTGGGAATGACTCCGTTTCGGAAGTAATCAGGATCGTTTGAATTTAGTTCATTCTGCGAGGAGTTCCAACTCTTCTTAGTCATTGAGGACAAGGAAATGCGGTGGAATTAGGAACTGTACTATTCGCATCTTCGTCTTGAATCATTCGAGTCGACCCAGATTGCTAGAGGCCGGTTTTCTGTTTCTTATTTTCATTTCCAATGATTTCCCTGAGGACTTTCCGACGGTCATCGAAGCGTTTCACTTCTTCCATTAATTTTTTTTCTCCAGCAATCCAGCCATGTCACACCTGTTTCCTTTTCATTTTGGCGTCTTGCATGTTCAAGGTGATATTCGCCTCGGTTTGACGTCTCATCTGTTCCCTGTCGAAACGGATTCAAGCAGATACGACATTCCTATCCCAATGGATGTCGTATCCTTCTTCATGCGCCCGGCAATGGGTGCATCAAAGTACAAATCGAAGGGGGAGCGTGGGAGTCGGGGTGGGTCGAGTGGGATCTGGGGGCGGGGCAGGTTTGGTAGTAAAATAGGCAGGGTACTGAGCTGCATCTTCTGGGGAAAGGGTTGTTTATACAGAAACCATCAATTTGATATTACACGACGACACAGTCCAGTTGTGAATGGATAAGGCAATAACAATTACCGGGTCTTGGCTGATATGTAGCGACCTCAGCGTTCCTCCCTATGGATGTTTCCGGCCTCGCTCCAAAGATTTGAAATGGAGGGTGTGGACCAGTTCATCATCCACCAGCCAGCTTGCATGAAAGCTCGTCTGAAACGTCCCGCTGCGAAACCGTATTTCAACACAATGAGAGTCTGTTATAAACTTCGCTCACTTGCCGAGATGAAATCAGGCTTCTCGTCAAGGTTGAATGGCTCATTGCGGGGCCTTAGAATCGGCTCGCATCCCGACTTCACTGCGCGTTCCGACTTAGTGTGCAGGCAGCCGTCAGTCTAGAGTGCTTCACGGTGGAGTCTGATGGCAACTTTTCATAGTGCGCCTGCCGATCTCTGCTAAGACTTTGCAGTCATCGTATCGTTCGTCACTTGGTGTCATAGAACACAGGAAATAGAAATCAGAAACAAGAAGCAGCCTGCGAGGTTTTGGTCTTCTCACGTCGTATTGGGAAATGGGGTAGAGTCATCCTCGCTAGAATGTGACGTAGCAAGATGATAGGAAAAGACCTAAACCCTAAAAATCGACGTTCGATTGAAAGCCTTCATCTCCTTAAGGGGGTTCCTCAAGGACTTATTGGTCCTCTCCACTTCCTCGTAGATATCATCGCGGAAGCCCAAGATAAGAGCCTTAGTGCAGCGGCTCCCAGACTTCTTTGAACCCACTGCTGAAGTACAGAAAATTTCGCGACCCACCGGAATTCAGAACGAGGTATTTTCAAAGTAATTATGACGTGAAGAAAACTGATCGACCTTTTCCGCAGGGCATATTTTATCCCGAGCAGATGTGGATGTAGTGATTTTTTGATACTGGGAAAATGTACGCGACCCACCTTGATGCCTCTCACGACCCACAGTTTGGGAACCGCTGCCCTAGTGCCTAGTGAGTACCCCCGCACCCAATTCTGCACATGGCCTAGAGATGGCGCTCGTGTCTCTCGGCCTTGACTCCAGCTATGTCATCCAACAGATTAAGTCTTTCACGATGTGCTAAGAAGTGTAATTATGATTATCCATGCACCTAGTAATCCTATGTAACTGTAGAATAAGTGATGAGGTGATACATGCGGTGAGCATCCTGGAAGACAAGATAAACAAGGAAGTTTATTCTGGGTCAGAGGTCATGGCAGTGATCTAGGATCCGAACCTCTAATTATTCGGATGGGATGTAAAATCGCCGACCCTTGATCACCTCGAGCTATTCGACACCTTCTTGATCTGAATTAATTTACCTGAGCTTAAATTATCTTCAGTTCTGTTCTTCATTCATGGACAGGTACCTTCCCCTTTCCGATTTTTGGCCTGCACTCGATCTGCGTTGTGGAGCCCCCCTCGATCAACTGCTTAATCACGTCCGTCCGAGCCTCTGTGCTCACAGCGAGACTAGCCTGTGCCCTAACCGGACTTGGTTTTTCTTTTCCCGCGATCGATACGAGAACCTTTGGCCGAAAAAAAGTTTCTACCCGGAAAAATGTACATTCTAGCTAAGAATTCGTTCTTCGATGTATCAATGGCAGTTG